AAATACAAGAGCCAATTTTTTTTGGTTTTTGGTTTCTTTCTTTCTTTTTTTTTTTTTTGAGATGGAGTCTCCCTCTGTTGCCCAGACTGGAGTGCAGTGGTGCAATCGCGGCTCACTGCAACCTCTGCCTCCCGGGTTCAAGTGATTCTCCTGCCTCAGCCTCCTAAGTAGCTGGGATTACAGGCACCCACCACCACACTTGGGTAATTTTTGTATTTTTAGTAGAGACAGGGTTTTGCCATGTTGGCGAGGCTGGTCTCAAACTCCTGCCCTCAAGTGATCCACCCACCTTGGCTTCCCAAACTGCTGGGATTACAGGCATGAGCCAACACACCTGGCCCATTTTTTTTTTTTTTTTTAAATAAAATAACAACAGAATAACTAAGTTGGAGGACCCACACTACTTTAAGACTTACTGTAAAGCTATAGTAATCAAGATAGCATGGTATTGTTGAAAGAATAGACACGTATATACATTAAACAGAATAAAAAGCCCAAATTAAACTTACACAAATATAGTCAACAGATTTTTGACAAAGGTTCAAAGGCAATTCAATAGAGAAGGAACAGTTTTTTCAACAAATGGTGCTAGAATGATTCTTCATCCATATGCAAAAAAGGAACCTTAACACATACTTCATACCTTGTATAAAAATTATTTCAAAGTGGTTTATAGATCTAAATATAAAATATAAAACAATAAAACGTCTAGGAGAAAGTGTAAGAGACCTTGAGTCTGACTATGAGGTTTGTTTGTTTGTTTGTTTTTTATTGAGATGGAGTTTCGCTCTAGTCACTCAGGCTAGAGTGCAATGGCGTGATCTCGGCTCACTGCAACCTCCGCTTCCTGGGTTCAAGTCATTCTCCTACTGGAGCCTCCCAAGAGGCTGAGATTATAGGCATGTGCCACCACGCCCGGCTAATTTTTGTATTTTTAGTAGAGATGGGGTTTCACCATGTTGCCCAGGCTAGTCTTGAACTCCTGACCTCAGGTGATCCACCCTCCTTGGCCTCCCAAAGTGCTGGGATTACAGGCATGAGCCACCACGCCCAGCCAACTATGAGTAAATATGACACCAAAAGCACAACCCATCAAAGAAAAAAATGAGAAATTGAGTTTTATGAAAATTAAAGACTTTTGTGGGCTGGGCATGGTGGCTCACATCTGTAATCCCAGCACTTTGGGAGGCTGAGGCAGGCAGATCACGAGGTCAGTAGTTCGAGACCAGCCTGGCCAACATGGTGAAACACCATCTCTACTAAAAATGCAAAAATTAGCTGGGCATGGTGGCGGGCGCCTGTAATCCTAGCTACTTGGGAGGCTGAAGCAGGAGAATCACTTGAACCCAGGAGGGGGAGTTTGCAGTGAACCAAGATTGCACCATTGCACTCCAGCCTAGGAGAAAGTGCGAGACTATGTCTCAAAAAAAGAAAAAAAAAAGACTTTTGCTTTGTAAAAAAATCTGTGAAGAGAATGAAAATACAAGCCATAGACAAGGAGAAAATATTTGCAAATCACATATCCAATAAAGAGTTTGTATGCAGAATATATAAAGAACTCTTAAACCATAACAATAATAAAACAAATAATTAAACTTAAAAATGAGCAAATGTCTGAAAAGATTCTTCCCCAAAGAAGATATATGGATGGCAAATAAACAGGGAAAGATATTCAACATCATTAGTCACGAGGAATATGCAAATTAAAACCACAGTGGGATACCACTATGCACCTATTACAATGGCTAAAATAAAGAACTGAATACAAAATATTGGCCTTGATGTGGAGTAACAGAAAGAGTCATTCATTGCTGGTAGAAATACAAAATGGTACAGCCACTTTGGAAAAACAAATTTGGCAGTTTCTTATAAAGTTAAGCATATACTTATATGACCCAGCAATCTCACTTCTAGGTATTTATCCAAGTGAAATGAAAGCTTACACTCATACAAAACATGTATATGAGTATTTATACATAATTTTCCCAAAATGAGCAATTAAAAATGAGAAATTGTGGTAATCCATATAAGGGAATACTACTCAGCAATAAAAAGGAACAGATTATTGATTCATACAAAAACATGGGTCAATCTTAAAATGCATTTTCCTAAGAGGATCATTGTTGGGACTGGGTGATGGGTACAGGAGGATTGATTATTCTGTTTTTGTGTGTGATTAAAAATTTCCATAATAAAAGTTTTAAAAGTGTATTTTAATATGGTATTTTTAAATGATATCACAATGTCCAGGTACTGCACAGATGAGACTGAAGTTCCATGTTCTAAAACCAGAAGCTCCATCTGAAATGTTGCATAGAAAACTGCTCATTGGCTGGTCGCAGTGGCTCACGCCTGTAATCTCAGCACTTTGGGAGGCCAAGGTGGGTGGATCACCTGAGGTCAGGAGTTCAAGACTAGCCT